GAGGAAGGGGAGTAGGAGGAGGGAAAGTGTCAGCACTTACGCTGTGACCCAGGTGGTTGTAGAGCATGTGGATGATGCAGCTGCCTTTCTGGTAAGACACTGCGTCAAATATCTCCTCCACTTCCTGAGCACTGTTCACCTCAACCTGTGCAGTGAAAAGGGCAACAATGAGGCGGTTGTCCACCATTCGTGCCAGTGTTAGCGCACACTAGAAGGCAAGGTGGAAAATGGCAACTGACCTCAATGGGATGACTGCTTCTCAGTTCATCTAATCGCAGTGCTCGAAGGTACTCACACGACACGAAGCGGGTCTAAATGCAATGAAGAATGGCTGTATGGCAAGGCTTCATCCAAATGTAGCAACCAATATAAAAATATGGGTGGAATGCTGGTGAGATAAGCAGGAAAGGGTGGTCGTGGTAGAGCAACTGTTGTCTCAGCTTCACCAACTACACTTTGCACAACTCATGTGAGCTAAGACACGGGTTCTGCATGGGAGGGCAGAACCACGTCACTAAGAAGATCAAACACTTGAACTGTGGTACTTTAATGCCAGTTGAGAGCCAGACTAGCGAACCCTCCGATTCGCAACAGCAGCATTTAGTCGCCCACACCATCGCAGCCTTCCAACATGTTTGCAGATCAATGAGCACCAAGTGTCTGCTGCAATGATCCGACTCCAATCAACAACGGCATTACAACTACTTCCTCCTCCCTCAGGTGATAAGTAATTGCAGCTTCTCAATCATCCGTTGGGACTGAGGATTTAATGCACTGTCAACCGAACACGTGAGATTAACGGTAAGGAGGTATCAACAGCAGTGTGGAAGCATTGCTTAGCCTCAAGCTCATGGCTCACATTGAGACCAGCCGCAGTTCAACAACTCACCAGGTGCAATGAACGAAGGCACTCACCCAAATGTCGTAGTCTGGGAAGCAGTGGTCCACAGCTAGGTACTCGGCCCACGTGGCGAAGCCCTCATTGAGCCAAAGATCCCTCCACCACGACATAGTCACGAGGTTCCCAAACCACATATGGGACACCTCGTGCGCAACTGTGAGGGCCACGCGCTGCTTCGACTCCAGAGACGAGTTCTCCGGATCAATCAGAAGCGCAGTCTCCCTGTAGCCGTGGACAAGGGGAAAGAAAAGTGATTATAAATAGCATTGCACACGTCCCTGTTGGCTCGCCCTTGTTCAACTCCCCCATCCTTTGCAACATCAGATGATCTGGTTTGTCAAAAGGTTGTACTCCTACAGCGGCGGGAGCTCTGGCTGCGAGTTTGCATGACATTAGGGAGGAATGTGTGTCAGTTGAGGTTTGAACTCTTCGTTCCGACATTTGGGAGTGAATGAAGCCTCAATAAACACTCTACCACGCATCAACTCTAGCCGGACCGCTGTAACCACTTGAGAACACATCTAACGCAGTGGGTGGTGGAACGCAAGCCGACGTTTCAAAAGCCATCACATCACAGCAGCCACTGCAATGCCTGGACACATGTCACGGGCAAGTGGGGGAAAGGAAGTCGAATTGGAGCCAGTCAGTCAGACTCACTGATTGGACCAGAATGGGAAAGCAACAGATTCAGAGGTAGTAGTGTTAGTAGTAAGCGCTGGAAAACTCACCGGAATGTGACCAATCCCCAATTCTCCATCGCATTGCAATCGAAATCGGGGATGGCTATTAAATCGAGCTTGGGGAGAGGATAAGGTGTTCCGAATAGATTGGTATAGAAGGGCAGAGATTTCGCTGCCACCTGCAACGCGTGCTGCCCGAAGCTGCTCTTGCCCGGCGGCGCATACACACGAATTTGCGGTTGCCATGCCAC